TTGTTACTTACCGTTATTCTACCATCCATTCTAACTAAATATCTGTAATAGTTCTGATGGAGGTGAAGTGATTTATATGGCTTGATAAATGGCGGTTGACCTGTTGCATAAATTCCAATCTTATCGGGTTATCAATTGTCATTAAGACTTCCCGCCTCACTAAACAGTCGTCCTGACCGTTGTTGACATGTTGACGGGCATTGGAACGCAAGTACACGCTCCCTTTGTCGCCGTGCTGCTGAATTAACTTTCGTGTACTTCGTTATCTTTCATTAGCAGCAAATTAGTTCGTCGTTCAAGTCGTTGGCCTTTCGCGAGGCTAAATGCTCTACTTGCGAAATCCCGGCCCGGTGACTTCTGTGATGTGTTTCTCATGTCGTCCGTGTGTTTGTTCCTGTCAGGAGGGAAACACAGACCGTCATGTTGTGTGTCTCCTCTCCTGACACACATCGACTTTCGAAGTTTGTCGACGTTTCCACTTCAAAATGGCGTTTCTGGAGTTGTCCAGTCAATAATTTCGCCCACGCGGGTTGAACTTGTCTCGAGCTGTATATAAATTCATTGCTGCTACATTGTGTATAGGAGACACCACTAGATCGATTTTAGATCGTCCATCACAGGATCTCGCAGGCCGACCAATGCGTGCCCAGACGCCATCGCGGCTGCAAAACCCGCTATTTCGGAGCTGCATTGGGGTAATGCGACCTGAAGTGTGCTTTTCTTGAGAGCAGAGAGACCGCCTTGGGAGAATACAGGCGTAGACGGTGCGTCATATGCTTCTTTGAGCTGCTTCGGAGCTGCATTCTCGCAATCGCTGCTCAGCACCCTGAACTTGCCGAAGGCCGACCTGTACACATTACGGATGCAGATTATATCGAGTTTTCTGGACGACTGGCGATGACGTCAGCTGCGAAGCCAAAATCCATGGCTGTAGGCATCTCGCGGAGCTCCATACTCGTTCTATTCGCCACGTGCGTCGCCGTTACGATCTGCTTCAGGATGATCGGGTCAGACTTTCGCGCGACCCTATCGCCTATTCCGCTGGGATTGTCGCAGCTAGGTTTTATAAACCGCGGGGATAGGAGGAGAGTGGGCGCGGCGATAGCAAGTGGGGTGGAAAGAAGGGAAGGGAGAGGGATTACTGGAGATGGAGCTGCAACTGCCGATCAATCTCAGCCGTTGATCCCTGGGTCCCGACTTGCTACTGTAGCCGAGTTCAAGAGGTTTGAGAAAAGATTCGATTGTTTGGCGTCGAAAGGGCAGTGGACATATGACCCTAGACCAAGATTCCTACCATGGGGAGAACAAAAAAAAGATGGGTACTCTTCCTGTGACTACTGGTGGATTACAGAGGCCGAGAAGAACATTTCCGGGCAGAATGGAGTTTCTGAGATAGCTGCATTTCCGAACGTCGCGTATGACATTGCGGATGGAGTGGCTAGGAGGAGGGGGGCCAGAGCAGTGTGGCAGGTTCGGCCGAGCGTGAAGTACAGGTGGGTGTTGCCGAAGCAGAAAGGGGGTCACAATTCAGGAGAGGAGGAGGAAGGAGGAGGAGGGTTGGAAGAGTGTGGGGGAAGTGAGTGGTGGGGGGAAGTGGATTGTGCGCGGTTGAAAGCAGGGCTTGTTCCAAACGGAGGGAAGATCCTGATAGTGGGAGATTCGCTAAACTTAGAAATATTTGAGGCCTTTAAGAATCTTATGAATATGTGCCAGAAAAAGTGTACTTTTGAGATGTGGAAAAAATGGTATGAGGAAAGGCAGCAGCAGAGGCAGCAGAGGCAGAAGGAGGTACAGCAGGAGGCGCAGCAGGGACAGCAGGCGGCGCAGCAACAGCAGCCACGGTGGCAACAGCTGCAAGGGCCGGAGAACCAACAGCAGGGGGTGCAGCAGATGCAGCAGGGGGGCCAGCAGGGGCATCAGGGGGCGCAGCAAAAGCAGCCACGGCGGCAACAGCTGCAAACGCTGGAGAACCAACAGCAGGGGGTGCAGCAGATGCAGCAGGGGGGGCAGCAGGGGCATCAGGGGGCGCAGCAAAAGCAGCCACGGCGGCAACAGGTGGAAGTGCCGGAAAACCAACAGCAGAAGCAGGAAGCGGAACAGGAGGAAAATCAGGAGAGTAAACAGGAGGGGAAATTGGAGGGTAAACAGGAGGAGCTTCAGCAGCCGGAGAATATTGAGCAGCAGGAGCAGCAGGCGAAGCTGCATTACCAGCAGCAGCAGCAGCAGCTAGAAGAAAAAATAAAGCAGGAATGTCCCGGAGTGGAGAAGCTTGGACAGAAATCGTGTGCGGAGCATAGAACGATTCGTGAAATCAGCTGGCAATGCAAGGAAGTGCGATATGGGAACACTACGATACTGTACATACGAAATGATCTCCTAAACACGTCGAACGATTACTTGATTCAGCTCCCTCGGTGCATCAACACCCCTTGGATGAGGACGCTCAAGGCCGACCGCAGCGTGGCAGTGCTTCTACTGAATCGTGGGGCGCACTATGAAGAGAATGAAGCTTTCATTCCTGATCTCAATGCTACACTCCATGAAGTTAGAGAGGCGGCACCGAACGCGCTTGTGGTCTATCGGAGCACGCCGGGAGGCCATCCCAACTGCACAAGAGCGATTTCAGATCCTTACAAGGCGTCTCCGGACATGAGCTCTTATCCCTACCACTATGGCGATTTTCATGAGCAAAACATGATTACGAAACAATTGCTGAGGGAGGTTGGAGGGGTTTTTATGGATGTTGAGAGGATGACAGTTATGAGACCTGATGGACATGTGGGCCCTCCAAAGGATTGTCTGCATTATTGTCTCCCTGGGCCTATAGATACATGGGTTAGTATGTTTTACCACATGCTTACACAGTTGCTGTAGACTGTATTTATAGTCCTTAGTACCACCATCCATTCTATATATTTGTAGTTATGCAAGTTGCAAGTGGCCTTACTTTCAGTTAGTATCGCTCCGCGATCACCTGGACGCATATCCCAGCTTCTTTTGACGGAAAAAGCGTGTTCACTTTCGGCATCCCCAAGGCGTGGTCTGTCTTCAAATTCCCATTCCCGTCTCTGCTCTCTGAATTTGGTGTGGTTGTGTTGTCAGATTCAACCTCGGCTTTTCCCTAGTATTTGCTTGCTTCATCTCTTAGCCGTGCAGTTCTTGAAGCAGCCTTGCACAGGCTCACATGATCCTGTGTCCTCTCATTCGAGGGAGCTGTCTCGCTGCTCGTTCCATCGACGTTCCTGCTCTCCGCTCCCCCGCTCGTCGTCATTTATCTGTTAGCCTCTCGCACTCGCAGCAACCTCATCAAATCTTCCTCAGCTTTCAATCCGATCCCAGCGCTGCCGTTCTTAGTAACCAATCTCCGAAAGCTCTCAACGGGAAGTGTTTAGGGTCGGCTTTTCTCAGCGTCCCGCACGTCAGGCGAATTTTACGAAGGTCGCGAACAGTAGCAGCAGCAGCAGCGGTGACAGCGACGGCATCGGCGGCAACACAGGGTACACTTTTCTGACCGTTAAGCCGTGCTAGCAGTCACGGGTGGTCACGGCTTTACTTGAAACTGGTCCCGCGTGTTCCACAAAGCTTAATTTCACAAGAGCTCGCGCTAACGTGTCTTCCGTGTTTCAATAAAATTTCCATTAATTGCCTGCTTCATCTGAAACTGGTACATCGTAACTACATCAGTAAGGTTTGTGTGTGTAATATATTTCAATCTTCTCAGTCATCTGGTGCTTAGTCTGACGGGGTTGTTCTTATGGGGTTGCTCGTATGGGGTTACGTTGTAACAGGCGAAGCAGATTTGCGGGGGGTTCCGGAAGAAGCTATGGAGAAGCAGGGTGTTCTCGTCTACGGTGCCACAGGTATCGCCTGCAACGTGTGACGTGTGCAACGTGTGACGTGTGCGAAGGATGACGTGTGCAACGTGTGACGTGTGCAATGTGTGACATGTGCGAAGTATGACGTGTGCAACGTGTGACGTGTGCAATGTGTGGCGTGTGCAACGTGTGGCCCTCCAGGTCGATTGGCAAGGCTGTGGATTTGCCCGTAGCAGCGGTGGATTTGCCTGTAGCAGCGGTGGACTTGAGCAAGCATTTAGTCATCTCTCTTGCCCCCGTTTCCCCCCCTATCCTTCCTGCTTTTCTGGCCCTCCAGGTCGATTAACAAGGCTGTGGTTTTGACCCGGGTCGGGTCAGGCATTTTGAAGCACTGACCCGGCCGGGTCGGGTCGGGTTTACCCGGTCGGGTCGGGTCGACCCGACACCTGAAACCGGGTCGGGTCGGGTCGGGTCAGATTTAGACCCGAAGTCGTACCCGACCCGGTTTCGGGTACCACGCCCTAAGTTGGGTCGAGTATTTGGCCCGACCCGACTTTTCCTCCCTCCACAATTTGCACTAAAGCAGATCGCGAAGTCAATGTCTAGGGTTTGTTTGTTCCCTCGACATTGACTTCGATCTGCAATACCTAGGCAGCTAGCAAGCAATCGTTCTCAAGCTCTACTACTCTCTAAACCCGCGCCCATGTTAAGGAACACTATTACTAGTGTGTCCATGTTGGCGTAAGGGTCTTTTTAACCTAGCGCGACCAGGCAGGGATATTCGATTCTATAGAAATAGTTATTCTTAGCTCTCACAAGCGACTAAACTCTGGCCCCGCGTTCTAATCGCCCCCTGCGCGCCTACCAGGCCCGCATCGATAGTGACGCGACCCCCCATAGTCTAGTTACAAAATGGAGGACGTTCATATAATAATATTACACAAATATTCAATCAGTGCAACACCGCACAGTAGTAAGGAGAACCTCTTACCCTGCATATGGGGTCCTGGCCCGACCCGACCCGACCCGGCCCCTACCCGACCCGACCCGGGGGCGGGTCACGCCTGACCCGGCACCCGATACCCGGGTCGGGCCAGGATTTTTTGAAGTTCCGACCCGACCCGACCCGACCCGGAACCCGGCTGGCCCGCCCAAGTCGGGTCGGGTCGGGTCGGGTCGGGCCTAATGATCTGGCAGGTGATGGAGCATGCGCGCACATACGATGCCACAGCCAAGGAAAAGGGCATCATGTTTCTCCCTGCTGTCGGCTTTGACGTTATTCCGGGAGGTATGCTGGTCATGGTGCTGACAATCCAGGTGGTGTGATTCGACTCAATTCAAGTTGTGAGGTCAGAAAGCCGCTCTCTGTTTCTAGTTTTCGAATGCTCTCCCCTCCTCTCCCTCGTCTCCCACATCCTGTCTTCACCTCCCGACCCAACAACATCAACGCCCAGACTGCATGGCAGGGTACCTTAAGGCCAAGCCCCCTTGAGCAACATCAGTAAATCACGTCCACTCTCCCACCTTCTGTTCATCCCTTTCCTTCCCAATTGTTAAACCACCAGACTGCTTGGCAGGGTACCTGAAGGCCAAGCTCCCTTCAGCAACATGATTGAATCACGTCCATAATCCTACGACCTGTTTACCCCTCCCCTTTTCTCCCCTCCCTCACCGATCCCCCCCCACTACTATCATCAATGCCCAGACTGCTTGGCAGGGTACCGCAAGGCCAAGCTCCCTTGAGCAACATCAGTAAATCACGTCCACTCTCCCACTTTCTGTTCATCCCTTTCCTTCCCAATGGTTAAACCACCAGACTGCTTGGCAGGGTACCTGAAGGCCAAGCTCCCTTCAGCAACATGATTGAATCACGTCCATAATCCTACGACCTGTTTACCCCTCCCCTTTTCTCCCCTCCCTCCCGGATCCCCCACACTACTAACATCAATGCCCATACTTCTTGGCAGGGTACCTCAAGGGCAAGCTCCCTTCAACAACATGATTGAAGTCCATAATCCTACGACCTGTTTTCCCCTCCCCTTTTCTCCCCTCCCTCCCCTTTTCTCCCCTCCCTCCCCGATCCCCCCCCACTACTAACACCAACGCCCAGACTGCCTGGCAGGGTACCTAAAGGGCAAGCTCCCCTCAGCAACGGAGCTTCACCTTGCCACTTTCTTTTCCACCACTGCTCCTGTGAGTCTCTCTGTGTGTGTGGGGGGGGGGGAGAGAGAGAGACTGTGTGAGTGTAACAGTGAGTGTATGTGTGGGCCTGTGTGTGTGTATGTGTGTGTGTGTGTGTGTATGTGTGTGTGTGTGTGTGTGTGTGTGTGTGTGTGTGTCCGTGTGTGTGAGTATGTACGCAGCAATTGCTCTGTGGGTGTGAGGACGTCTACCCCACCCAGCACCTGGTGTTCTGGCGCCCGATGTGAACAGCCACGTGTAGAGAGGGTGTTTTTGAGACGTCTCAAAAACACCCTCTCTACACGTCGACCCCACCCAGCACCTGATGTTCGGGTGCCCGATGTGAACATGCCATCTCACTCACGTTATGCTGATATCAGGCACCAAGAACATTCTGCCCATGGTGTGGGTGTGAGGACGTCTACCCCACCCACCCAGCACCTGATGTTCTGGCGCCCGATGTGAACATGCCGTCTCACTCACGGTATGCTGATATCGGGCACCAAGACCATTCTGCCCATGGTGTGGGTGTGAGGACGTCTACCCCACCCACCCAGCACCTGATGTTTAGGCGCCCGATGTGAACATGCCGTCTCACTCACGGTATGCTGATATCGGGCACCAAGACCATTCTGCCCATGGTGTGGGTGTGAGGACGTCTACCCCACCCACCCAGCACCTGATGTTCTGGCGCCCGATGTGAACGTGCCGTCTCACTCACGGTATGCTGATATCGGGCACCAAGACCATTCTGCCCATGGTGTGGGGGAGACTTGCGGCTTCTGACTTTTCCCTCCCATACCCTTCCGTTCCTGCACCATCTGTCAGGGCGAGGACCCTCTGTCCACCCCGCCCAACGCCCTACCCTCCCACGGCACGCTGATCTCGGGCGCCAAGCACATTCTGCCTGTGGTCTGGAGTGGAACTTGCAGCCTGAGTCTCTCCCTCCCATACCCTTCCCTTCCTTCCCTTGCTGCACCAACTGCCAGGGCGAGGACCCTCTGTCCACCCCACCCAACGGCCTACCATCTCACGGCACGCTGATCTCGGGCGCCAAGCACATTCTGCCCATGGGAGGGCTGGTGCGCAGGAATGGCGCGATTGTGAAGGAGGCTATTGCGAAATAGTGAGTGCAGTTGTGTTGTGTAGGTGTATGGTTGGTTGTGCAACAGTGACACCTGGTTACTGTTATTGTGTGAGCTTATTCTGCCCATGGGAGGGCTGGTGCGCAGGAGTGGAGCTATTGTGAAGGAGGCTATTGCGAAATAGTGAGTGCAGTTGGGAATGGGAAGGACCGTATTGCAATCAAAGCAGTGAGTGTGTTTTCACGTGTAGAGAGGGTGTTTTTGAGGCGTCTCAAAAACACCCTCTCTACACGTGGAATGGGAAGGACCGTATTGCAATCAAAGTTGTGAGTGTGTATTTGTGTGAAGCACAACCTCTGTCCACAGGCTTGTTTCTGTGTCTCTCCCTTCCCTCGCCCCCTCTCCCAGTGGTTGCTCCTTCCTCATTCGCAAGGAGCTGCCTCCTCCGCCTCTCTCTCCTCCTCCCTTCTCTTCTATCCACACCTCTCCCCCCTCCTCACCCCCCTTCCCTCGCAGTGGTCGCTTCCTCATTCGCAAAGAGCTGCCCCCTCGTTCCACCTTCTCCTTCCCAGCAGCTGAGCTCTTCAGCACCTCCCTCCCTTCACCCCCCTCCCCCCTCCTTTCCCCCCTCTCATCCCTCTCCCAGTGGTCGCCCCTTCCTCATTCGCAAGGAGCTACCCCCTCGCTCCACCATGTCCTTTTCCGCAGCCGAGCTCTTCAGCACCTCCCTCTCCACACCTCCTTTCTAATTCAACAGCCGTGCCTCTGTTCCTCTGTCTCCCAACACCCTCCCTCTCCCTTTACCCCTCCCCCCTTCCCAGTGGGCGCTCCTTCCTCATTCGCAAGGAGCTGCCCCCTCGCTCCACCATGTCCTTCCCAGCAGCTCATCCCTTCCGCACCTCTCTCTCCACCTCCCTTCACTTCTATCCACACCTCTCCCTCCCCCCTCACCCCTCCCTCCCAGTGGTCGCTCCTTCCTCATTCGCAAGGAGCTGCCCCCTCTCTCCACCATGTCGTTCCCGGCAGCTGAGCTCTTCAGCACCTCCCTCTCCACCCCCATCCCCAATATCACCGTCTACGTGCCAGGTGAGGTTCTATTTCTTATTATTATAATTAACATTATGCCCTTTATTCTGCTCACTCCAGCACCTCCCTCTCCACCTCCATCCCCAACATCACTGTCTACGTGCCAGGTGAGGCGCCCCTTCCCTTGTACTGCTCTTTCTCTACCCTTATAATTCTCTCCACTTTCCTCTCTAAATGCTACTTATCGGCTCTTCTATCCGTCTGTTCCCTTCACCACACCTCCCTCTCCACCTCCATCCCCAACAGCACTGTCTACGTGCCAGGTGAGGTGCTCCTCCTCTCTGTATACTCCTTATCGCCTTTTTTATCCCCTTCACCACACCTCGCTCTCCACCTCCATTCCCAACATCACTGTGTATGCCATGTCATTTGTTCCTCCTCAAATGTGTTGCTCTTCCCCATCCCTTGTATTGGTGTTCCGCATCCCTTGTATTGCTATTCCCCATCCTTTGTTTTGCACTCCCTCATCCCTTTTATTGCTATGCCTCATCTTTTCTATTGCTCTTCATGTTCCTTCTCCCTCTGCTACTTCTCGGCTGATCTATCTGTCTGCTCCCTTGAGCATCCCTTTCTCCCAATCTCCATCCAAAACATCAACGTTGACGTGCCAGATGAGCCGCTCCTGTTCCCTTATGTTGCTCCTTCTCTTCCCATGCACTCTTCTTTCTTCCCCGTTCTGTTGCCCTTCACATTCCTTCAAAATCCCTACCCTGTTCTATCTGTCTTCCACTCTCTCCTCTCCTCCCTCCTCTCTCCTCTCTCCTCTCTCCTTTCTCCTCTCTCCTCTTTCCTCTATCAGTCCTCTCCCACACCACCAGGTACCTCCTCCTGAATGACAGCAAAACTCATCCGCATCGTTCACTTCCTATGATCGTTCCTCCTCTCACTTTCCCTTTCCTCACATGTTCCCTCTTCTCACTTCTCCCTCCTCTCTCCTCTCTCGGATCCCCCCCTCTCTCCCTCACTCTCACACCGACCAGGCACCCCCTCCTGGATGACGTAACTGTTCATCCTTACCAATCAATCAGCCCTACCATTCCTCTTCTCGCTTTTCTCTCTCCTCATGTATCCTCTCTTTTGACTTCCCTCCCCCTCTTAATCCTCCACACCAGGTAAAGCTTCCTGGATGGCATCACTGTTCATCCGCATCGTTGAGTTTGTCCTACCATTCCTCCTCTCGCTTTTCATTTTCCTCACATTTCTCTCTTTTCACTTGTCTCTCCTCTCTTCTCTCCCCCCTCTCACATGCACACACCAGGTAAATCCTCCTGGGTGACGTCACTGTTCATCCGCATCATTCAGTTTGCCGCCCGGGTCTGGCCCTTCACCATCCTCCTCGAGAAAGCCATCCGAATGCTGCCCACACCTGATACCACCCCGGTAGGCATCTTCCTAGTTAGTGCTTCCACATTCTCTGATGCTCCATCATCCACTGGTGCGTCAGCATCCTATGGTGGTGCTTCACCAGTATCCTCTGGTGAGGTTCTGTTCTCCCAGGAACAAGAGGCCTATGCCATGCCATGCCATGTGAACTCTCCTTGTCTTCACTCCTTCTCCTTCAACCCCCCAGCTGCAAAGTCACAGGGTTAACACGGGCATGGCATGTGCGGGGGAGATGGTAGACACGGCCAGCAACAAGAGGCACATGCCATGCCATGCCATGTTAACCCCCCTTGTCCTCCCTCCTGCTACTCCTCTCCCCCCTTTCCCCCCCAACACTTGCTGCAGGGTCACAGGGTTAACACGGGCATGGCATGTGCAGGGGAGGTGGTAGACACGGCCAGCAACAAGAGGCACATGCCATGCCATGCCATGTTAACCCCCCTTGTCCCCCCTCCTGCTACTCCTCTCCCCCCTTTCCCCCCCAACACTTGCTGCAGGGTCACAGGGTAAACACGGGCATGGCGTGTGCAGGGGAGGTGGTAGACACGGGCAGCAACAAGAGGCACAGGGCCTCTGTGATCGTGGGCGAAGGTGAGTCAGAGCGGTGGTGATATGAGTCGTGTTTTGAGTCGACTCAAAACTTGACACGGCCAGCAACAAAAGGCACAGGGCCTCTGTCATTGCCGGCGAAGGTGAGTCAGAGCAGTGGTGATATGAGTCGTGTTTTGAGTCGACTCAAAACTTGACACGGCCAGCAACAAAAGGCACAGGGCCTCTGTCATTGCCGGCGAAGGTGAGTCAGAGCAGTGGTGATATGAGTCGTGTTTTGAGTCGACTCAAAACTTGACACGGCCAGCAACAAAAGGCACAGGGCCTCTGTCATTGTCGGCGAAGGTGAGTCAGAGCAGTGGTGATATGAGTCGTGTTTTGAGTCGACTCAAAACTTGACACGGCCAGCAACAAAAGGCACAGGGCATCTGTCATTGTCGGCGAAGGTGAGTCAGAGCAGTGGTGATATGAGTCGTGTTTTGAGTCGACTTAAGACTTGACACGGCCAGCAACAAAAGGCACAGGGCATCTGTCATTGTCGGCGAAGGTGAGTCAGAGCAGTGGTGATATGAGTCGTGTTTTGAGTCGACTCAAAACTTGACACGGCCAGCAACAAAAGGCACAGGGCATCTGTCATTGTCGGCGAAGGTGAGTCAGAGCAGTGGTGATATGAGTCGTGTTTTGAGTCGACTCAAAACTTGACACGGCCAGCAACAAAAGGCACAGGGCATCTGTCATTGTCGGCGAAGGTGAGTCAGAGCAGTGGTGATATGAGTCGTGTTTTGAGTCGACTTAAGACTTGACACGGCCAGCAACAAAAGGCACAGGGCATCTGTCATTGTAGGCGAAGGTGGCGTCAAAACGGTGGTGCCTGTTAGAACGGCACTTCTACAATCATTCTCTGCTAGAATGGCGCTTCTACAATCATTCTCTGCTAGAATGGCGCTTCTACAATCATTCTCTGCTAGAACGGCGCTTCTACAATCATTCTCTGCTAGAACGGCGCTTCTAAAATAATTCTCTGCTAGAACGGCGCTTCTACAAACGTTCTCTGTTCCGTTTTCTGCAGATCCCTTTAGGGGTGGGAGATGATATACGCCTCTGAAGGTTCCTCTATTTCTTGTCGTCTTCCCTCGTCTGCCTCCTTTTCCTCGGGCACATTTCAGGGTACCACGATTAGACGCCTCTGAAAGTTTTTCGCCTTCTCCTCATTCCATTTCCTGCCTCCTTGCCCCTTTGCGCATTTCAGGGTACCACTTTACGGCGAGCTGCAGTGCGGAAGTGGCACCGAGGGATGTATTCGACACCTCTGAAAGTTTCTCCTCCTTCCATTTCCTGCCTACTCGCCCTTTTGCGCATTTCAGGGTACCACTTTACAGCAAGCTGCAGTGCGGAAGTGGCACGGAGGGATGTTCTAGTCGCCTCTAAAAGTATCTCCTTTTCCTCCTTCCCTTTCCTGCTTCCTTTTTCTTTGCGCATTTCAGGGTACCACTTCACGGCGAGCTGCAGTGTGGAAGTGGCACGGAGGGTGTTGCAAGGGGAGTTCAAGCCCGGTTACCAGGTAAAACGGATGGCTATACCATGTGACTTCAAGTGCAATTGGGGTTCATCTTCTCCTAATGTTCATCTTAAACTGATTGTACTATTTCCATATAGCTTAACACGTGCCTCTCTCCTTCCCTGTCGCCTGTGCAGACACCGGCCACAGCATATGGGGCGAGCCTTGTGCAGGAGATTCCAGGGGAGAGGGTGGAGATAGTGGATTTGGACAAGGGAGGGCAGCTGGGAGTTTCCTTACACCAGTCGCTGCTCTGATGGGGCTCTTCAATAGTGCCCTGGACAAGGGAGTCGACTCAGAAGACACCCGCCACAGCATATGGAGCAAGCCTGGTGCAGGAGATTCCAGGGGAGAGGGTGGAGATAGTGGATTTGGACTAGGGAGGGCAGCTGGGGGGTTCCTTACACCAGTCGCTGCTCTGATGGGGCTCCTCAATAGTGCCCTGGACAAGGGAGTCGACTCAGAAGACACCCGCCACAGCATATGGAGCAAGCCTGGTGCAGGAGATTCCAGGGGAGAGGGTGGAGATAGTGGATTTGGACTAGGGAGGGCAGCTGGGGGGTTCCTTACACCAGTCGCTGCTCTGATGGGGCTCCTCAATAGTGCCCTGGACAAGGGAGTCGACTCAGAAGACACCCGCCACAGCATATGGAGCAAGCCTGGTGCAGGAGATTCCAGGGGAGAGGGTGGAGATAGTGGATTTGGACTACCAGGAAGGGCAGTGGTTGTGGATTGTTGGGGATGGTTGTGGGGTGGTTGTGGAGTGGTTGTGGGGTGGTTGTGGAGTGGTTGTAGGGTGGTGTTACTAGAGTGGGCTTTAACAGATGCATCTCCTTTTAAAGGGCGAGGGCAGAATTACCGAGTCGGCCGTGAAAGTGGTGACACTTTCATGCGATTGGTCGAAGTTTTCCCTTGGTTTTTGACGGGGTTGGTTGTTGATTTTCCAACCGAACCTCCTTGCGGGGTTTCCCGAACCTACAAAAATTCTGTTGACTTCGTTGTGTAATTCGGGTCTTGGGTTTTAAAGCAGCAGTATACATTTGGCAGGGAAAGTGCCATAAGTTTATAAATGGTACATGGTGGGGGCAAAATTGTGGGGCACATTGTAAAACCCTGAACCCCGCTGACAAATGTATATTGCCGGAAGCCCAAATTGCACAAGTTTGAAAAAGTTGACGCGAGGGGGTTTTTCTGGTCTGGGTTTTGGTGAGTGATTCCGATTTCGTGAAAGTCGTTTTTTTCGCCAAACCCAGCCAGCCCTCGTATTCCGCCCTGGGGGTTGGGTCATCAGTCCCCGAAAGTCTCAAATAGCAGGTGCGCTACGGTAACAGAAACATGGACTTTTTCAGCAATAATAGCCTCAAAAGCACAAAATACGTTCACTACATGTGTTTGTTTCTTTCAGTATCTCAAGGGGAGAGGGTGGAGATAGTGGATTCTACATGTGGATAGTGCCCTGTAGACAGGGCAGGGCGTCGGCGTTCACTCAAAAGGGATCAGATGCGCCTTACGATGTGGGTGGCGCGGATTTCGATGATGACGCGCAAAGCTAGTGCTCGCTGGGTGAAGATTTTTGTGTCGAAATGCATTTTATTGCGCAACTACTGCGTAGCGTAAACTCGCGGCGAAAATCGAATCGCACCCGTTCGCCCTAGCGTGACCCTCCCCTCGCCCTCGCTTTCATTTCCCTAGGTCCCACGCTTCCGCTCTCTGTCGCCCGCGTCGTCGCCATCGCTTCCGCAGCTCGTCGCGTTCGCGACCCCAGCCCGTCGCCTTCGCTCCGCCCGTCGCCTTCACTTCCCCCCCGTCGCCTTCACTCCCCCCCCCCCTCCTCCGCCCCCTTCCGTTGCCTTCATTTCCCCCTCTCGTCGCCTTCACTTCCCCCCCTCCCGTCGCCTTCACTTCCCCCTCTCGTCGCCTTCACTTTCCCCCCTCCCGTCGCCTTCACTTCCCCTTCCCGTCACCTTCACTACCCCCTCCCGTCGCCTTCACTTCTCCCCCCCGTCGCCTTCACTACCCCCTCCCGTCGCCTTCACTTCTCCCCCCCGTCGCCTTCACTTCCCCCTCTCGTCGCCTTCACTTCCCCTTCCCGTCGCCTTCACTTCCCCCTCTCGTCGCCTTCACTTCCCCCTCCCGTCGCCTTCACTTCCCCCTCCCGTCGCCTTCACTCCCCCCTTCCGTCGCCTTCACTTCTCCCCCCCGATGCCTTCGATTCCCCCTCCCGTCGCCTTCCCCGGATGCCGCACTCGCTTTCCCGCCCGTCACACTCGCTTCCCCACCTGTCGCCTTCACTTCCCCTCCCATTGCCTTTCACTCTCTGCTGCTCACTCTCTTTCCCCCTGCTCAATCTCTTTCCCACTGCTCACTCTCTTCCCCCCTGCCCACTCTTTTCCCCACCCTTCACTCTCTCCTCTCCTGTTCACCCCCTGTTCTCACCCCTCTTCCCCCCTTCACTCAACCGTTCCCCCCTGCTCAACCTCTTTCCCTCTGCTCACTCTCTTCCCCCCTGCTCACTCTCTTCCCCCCCCCCCTCACTCTCTTTCCCCCTGCTCACTCGCTTCCCCCCTCAATCTCTTTCCCCTGCTCATTCTCTTTCCCTCTGCTCACTCCCCTTGTTCTCACCCCACTTTCCCCAATTCTCACCCATTTTCCCCCTTCACGCTCTCTTACCCCCTCTGCTCGCCCCTGTTTTCCCGGCTCACTCCTATACTCACTCTCTCCCTCCCTGCTCGCTCTCTTCCCCCCTGCTCACTCTCTTTCCCCCCTGCTCACTTTCTTTCCCCCTCTTCTCATCCCTCTTTCCCCCTTTCTCACCCATTTCCCCCCTGCTCGGTCTATTTCCCCCTGTGCTCGCCCCTAAAATCCCCTGCTCACTCCCTTACCCCTTGTTCACTCTCTCCCCCTCTGATCACTCTCTTTCCCCCTGTACTCACCCATCTTTCCACCCTGTTTACTCTCTATTCCCCTTCGTTCAACCCTTTTTCCCCCCCAAGCCCTCTCATTTCCCCTCCTTAGCCCCATGCTTACTGGCTATCCCCTTTGCTCACCGCCTTCTCCACCCTGCTCACTCTCTTCCCCGCTTCGCTCACTCCTCTGCCTAACTCCTCCCATACATGCCCTCCACCGTCACCCCTCGCTTATTCTGCCATATCCCCTCTTCCCTCCCCGTTCCATACAGAACCATGCTTGTACAGGTGCCAGCACCATGGGTCCCAACAGGAGTGGGTTGAAAAGTTACCACCTCCTAGATTTGTGCTTGTGCTTATAGTCTTGTCTTGGCAACATCAATGGAACATTATTTTGTTATTTTTCACCTTTTCATAATGCTCCAAATCACGATGTGGTGTATTATGAGACGCATCCAACCAACATCAATAACGGTACATGGCATAGCTATTGTAGACGACTAATATTATCAAACCCTATACACATCACAACTGGATGCATGGCAGACCTGCACAGACACGAATCACAAACTCTGTTGCATGGTGGGGAACAAAGAATGCACGGAGGCAGAAAATGAGCAAGGGAGACACGGAGGAAGGGCGGAAGGGTGAGCGAGATGAAGCGTGGGTAGGGGAGAGAGAGCGGGGAAAAGCACTAAGGCAGAAGCGTGGGCGACGGTGAGAGGATGGGCGGATGAGATGATGGGCGGATGAGAGGATGGGCGGATGAGATGATGGGCGGATGAGAGGATGGGCGGATGAGATGATGGACGGATGAGAGGATGGGCGGATGAGAGGATGGGCGGATGAGAGGATGGGCGGATGAGAGGATGGGCGGATGAGAGGATGGGCGGATGAGATGATGGGCGGATGAGAGGATGGGCGGATGAGAGGATGGGCGGATGAGAGGATGGGCGGATGAGACGATGGGCGGATGAGAGGATGGGCGGATGAGATGATGGTGTTAAGATAGCAAGCAGGAATGACTGCATTGATATGATTGTGGGTACAAGTACTAACCCTAACATTGGGTTGTACCCCATACAGGGTACCCCACTATAGCCTACACAGAACTAGCACATATATAGTTTGACACACCCCCATAGGCAAAGTGGGGGAGAACAAGGGGTCACAAGACCAGTCAAGAAGAGCAAAGCAAGCTCAGGGTGGATCACAACGCCACCACACACTCCGAGCACAAGCAAAGGGCCACAGGGCCAGTTCACATGCAGAGGTATATATGCAACAACAACAGTACAGTGATCACTACCTAGCAGGAGTAGGCATGCAGGTATACAATATAGATCACAGTACAAGCAAAGTCTACAGCAAGTGAGGAAACGTAGGCACCAGGCCTAGAGCAGTGCAGAAGCGCTGATGATCACCAGTCGGAAGGGCCTTGGTGAACACATCAGCCGTGTTTGCCCAGGCGGGCACGTGAGCGACACGAAGCTGACCACGCTGCTGCAACTCTCGAGCAAGGAAGTAACGCAGAGCGATGTGCTTCGTTCTGTGCTCCACTCTGTGGTCCTGACACAAGGCAATGGCAGCCTTGTTGTCGACGTACAGAACTGGAGGAGAACGAGGCCTCTCTCCCAAGTCGGTCAGCAAGTAGGTGAGCCAGCGTAACTCCTGTGCAGCCATGGCTGTGGCGTAGATCTCAGCCTCACAACTGGAACTAAGAACAGAAGACGAGCGAGTAGACCGCCAAGAAACAGAGCCAGAGCCAAGGCTGAACGTGTAACCCTGTGACGACCGCTGCGTAGCCAGGTCGTCAACCCAAGAAGCGTCTGAGTGCCCAGTGAGGACAACAGAGCCATCGGGCATGGGGCTCGTGCTTGGAGTGCTTGGAGTGCCCGCCCTCCAAGCACGAGCCCCATGCCCGATCTACGGCACAAGTAGCGTAGTACCCTCTTCGCAGCATCGAAGTGCACCTTTCGGTGCCTACCAGGAGCCACGTAGCGTGTCAGAAGGCCAAGAGGGTACGCAAGGTTAGGACGAGTGCAGGTCATCAGGTACATGAGGCAGCCCACTAGCTCTGGGTACGGACCACTCGGCTCTACGGACTCGTCCGAAGGTGGAGCTGAGAGCGAGTGACCTGTAGCCAGGGGAGTGGACTGTGGCGAGGACCAAGTGAAGCCGAAGCGCTGAAGGACCTGCTGCACCATGTGTGACTGAGTCAGTGTGATGGTGCGCCGTGCTCTGTCCCGGGTGATCTGCAGGCCAAGGTAGCTGCGCAGCTCACCCAGGTCTGTGCACGTGTGTCTCTTCTGCAGCTCCGACTTCACAAGGGCGAGAGCCTCAGCGTCAGC